GGGACACCAAAAACATTTTTACTACAAAAATACTCCCTTAGTAATGACCAAACCAACTTGAACATTAGATTTAGTGTCCTCCCTAATCAGATTCCCTGCTTCAAATCATTTGAATATAATGCACACACCGGCCACTTTATTAGGTACACCTTACTAGCTCCAGGTTGGACCTTCAGAGCTGCCTCAATCCTTTGTGGTATAGATTCAACAAGGTACTGGAAATATTCCTCAGAGATTTTGCTCCATATTGACAAAATATTATCACGCAGTTGCTGCAGATTTCCATGATGCGAATCTCCCGTTCCACCATCCAAAGGTGCTCTATTGGATTGAGTTCTGGTGACTGTGGAGGCCATTTGAGTACAGTAAACTCATTGTCACTTTTCAAGAAACCAGTCTGAGATGATTCACGCTTTATGTTGTGACCTATCCTGTTGGAAGTAGCCATCAGTAGATGCATACACTGTGGTCATAAAGGGATGGACATGGTCAGCAACAATACTCAGGTAGGCTGTGTGAGAGAGTGAGTGAGTGAGTGTGCATTTATATAGCGCATTTATTGTGTATGGCCATACACCCAAAGCGCTTCAAAATCATGAGGGGGGTCTCTACACACCACCACCAGTGTGCAGCATCCACTTGGATGATGCGACGGCAGCCACAGGACAACAGTGCCAGTGCGCTCACCACACACCAGCTATTGGTGGACTGGAGAGACAGTGATAGAGCCAATTCGGTGGAAAGGGATGATTGGGAGGCCATGACCATATGGGCCAATAGAGGGACTTTGGCCAGGACACCGGGGTTACACCACTGCTCTTTCACGAGAACTGCCATGGGATTTTTAATGACCACAGAGAGTCAGGACCTCGGTTTAACGTCTCATCCAAAAGACGGCGCCCACTAACAGTGTTGTGTCCCTTTCACTTTTACTGGGGCATTAGGACTCACAAAGACCTCAGGTTGAGTGCCCCCTGCTGGCCTCACTAACACCACTTCCAACAGCAACCTGGTGTTCCCTAGTGGTCTCCCATCCAGGTACTGACCAGGCTCAGCCCTGCTTGGCTTCTGTGAGTAACCGGTCTTGGGCTGCAGGGTGATATGGCTGTGGACATGATGCTCAGTTGGTACTAATAGTGTGGTGTTTCTTGATTGTGTGTGTGAGGATTGGTGTGTGTTACCTGTTTGTTGATTTATTAATGGTTAAAACTGGTTATTTAATGGTTAATATAGCCTGATAACGCATATTATGATAACATAATGAATCAATATTCAATAAGATTAATAAACAGTTATTTCCAGATGTGACGTGACGTGTTCAATCATTCATTTTCTTTTCGGCTTAGTCCCTTTATTAATCTGGGGTCTCCACAGTGGAATGAACCGCCAAATTATCCAGCACATGTTTTACGCAGCGGATGCCCTTCCAGCCGCAGCCTATCTCTGGGATGCCATCCATACACACTCATACACTACGGACAATTTAGCCAACCAAATTCTCCTGTATCACATGACTTTGGACTTGGGGAAACCGGAGCACCCGTAAGGAACCGCCAACTTATCCATCATATGTTTTACACAATGGATGCCCTTTCAACTGCAACCCAGTACTGGAAAACACCCATACACACTCATACACTACGGCCAATTTAGTTTATTTAATTCACCTATAGCGCATGTCTTTAGATTGTAGTGGAAACCGGAGCACCCAGAGGGAACTCAAGACAATGTAAGAGTTGAAATATTACAAATATTTTGATATCTTTGACAATTCAAAACATGAGCTGAAAACAGAGACTGGTGACTCCACAACCCAGCAGATGGGAATGCGGGAAAAACCCGTTCCTGCTGCATTTGCATCTGAGTCTGCTAAAGCTCGGCTTCATCCACCCCAACTCACGCATATGGTCATTTCAATGTTTGAATGTTCTAGATTAACCAAACTGACTTTAACTATCATGTTTAATATCATTTGAAATGTCTCAGTGCGATTGGTACAATGATCTCATTCTCTCAGAAATAGACATAATCAAAACAATAAATATATACCTTCAGGCATCTTTTGAAGTGTACTTAGGTGGAAAGGGCGTTAACTTCCGTCTAGGTCAACAAGTTGTTGCACGACTAACCTAGATTGGGTACTCGACCTTTGTTTGAAGATAATATTATTCTAAATTAAGTTCATATGGGAAACCATAGGCTTGGTGAAAACCAAAGTTACTATAGAGTCCAGTAGTCGAGTACATTTATATTAATGCCCTAACCTCTAATTAGAAATGATGATTGTCTTAACTCAAGGGTGTACACCTAAGCGGGACTAACCAAAAGTATTTTAGAACGAGCGGGCTGGTAGCGGCCATCTAAAGTATTAGTCAATTACCTCTGTTTAATATTCAAGACTGACTGGAGTGTGACCGTGAGGGACGCCTTCGGCCGAGGCGATTTCTCTGAACATTTATCTAAATTACATATCGATATAATCTTCTTAATGTTTTATGATTGGAGTCAGATAAAACGAGGATAAATATATTAATATTCTAAACCACCTTATATTAAAATTGGAGTCAGATATGAGCTAAGTTTAATATAAATCAACATTGTGCACTGGAAGGACCGAACAGGCATTAAACCTTCATCCACCAGTGGACACCGGCATTGGGCCAACTGGGTGGACCTTACAACAACACGAGGAGAACATGCAAACTCCGCGCAGAAATGCAAACTGATCCAACAGAGACATGAATCAGCAACTTTCTTGCTGTGAGGCAACAGTGCTAACAAATGAGCCACTGCGCCATCCTGGATGCATTCATGATAGAAAAAACTCATACACCTCTAGGTTGCCTTTTGAGGTTGATTAAATCTGAATAGAAGTGAATTTCGAGGACTTCCTATGAGGTTAAAATTGTTCAGAAAGCATTATCATTTTAAGGGGGAGAAAATTCAATTCATCTTTATTTCAATAGCGCTTTTGCAATGTAGATTGTGTCAACGCAGGTTAACATAGACGATCATAGTAAATTGAAACTGTCAGTCCAGTTTTCAGAGTTTAAGTTCAGTTCAGTGTGGTTTAATTTTCACTGCTGAAAGTCAAAACATTGAAGAGCACATCCATCGATGCGCAGCTCTAGGGTCCCAAACCATGCAAGCCAGTGGCGAGGAACAAACTTCACCAATTTGCGAGAGTGAGGAAAAAAAAAACCTAGAGGGAAACCTGGCTCAGGTGGGCACGACCATTTCTTCTATTACCAATGTCTTGTGCAGAGCTGCAGTCTAGGCACCGCTAGGCACCGATGGACGTCCATCGTGGAGAAGCTGCAGATGGGAGAGGTCACCGGCTGGTGTACAGGCTGGGCCACAGGATCAATGCGGAGACTCGTCTGTCTGTCACTGGGGTCTTACAGGAATCAGTCTCATGCTCTTCACTCCTCCAAGATCATCACAGCAGCTGCTCAGGACACGGTCTGGTCCAGGATTATGGAAACCTTGAGAATGATTAAAAAAGACTAACCAAAATGGAAAATGGTTCATAATTAATCAATTGTGGCAACAGACAGTTAACATTAGCAGTTAAAGTTAGAAAACATCTTAAATCCTTCAAAATATATCAGTACAATGAAAAGCTGGATATAATTAGTGAGTAGAAACAACTCCAGTGAAATACCAAACTAGCCTAAACAAAGAAAAAAATGTAAATATGCAACTACAACTAAAATATATAATAGATGTGCAAACATCTATTTGTAAAAGCTCTTGTACAAACTCTGTTTGTAAAAGAACAAATTTTCAGCAAGTATAAGACAGTTCACAGTGGCTTCTAATGACTTTTTTTGGTTTTCAAAATAACAAAAAACAAACTTAAGGTGCAAATTACCACTCATATTAACCTTGGAAAACTAATATAAAATCATTCCAAAACGATGATAATGGAGGATGAAACCTGCAAAACAATATATAAATAAATAAATACGCAAATAATAAATGAATGAATTAATCCACAAATTCCAGCATAAATAAATATATAAATAGTGTGGGCATATTAAAAATGTAATAAATTACACGCATGTTGGGGGAATATGAAAATGCTAAACTGATACACCGCACTATTAAATTATTTATATATTTATTTATGCAGGAATTAGATTTATGTATACATTCATTCATTCATTCATTCATTTGCTTGTCGGGTTAGTCCCTTTATTAATCTGTACCTGTACCACATGTCTTTGGACTGTTTGTGGAATTTGTGTATTTTATTTATTTATTTATAGGGCGAAGCAGTGGCGCAGTAGGTAGTGCTGTCGCCTCACAGCAAGAAGGTCGCTGGGTCGCTGGTTCGAGCCTTGGCTCAGTTGGCGTTTCTGTGTGGAGTTTGCGTGTTCTCCCTGCGTTCGCGTGGGTTTCCTCCGGGTGCTCCGGTTTCCCTCACAGTCGAAAGACATGCGGTACAGGTGAATTGGGTAGGCTAAATTGTTCGTAGTGTGTGGATGTTTCCCAGGGATGGGTTGTGGCTGCGTAAAAACTTGCTGGATGAGTTGGCGGTTTGTTCCGCTGTGGCGACCCCGGATTAATGAAGGGACTAAGCCGACAAGAAAATGAATGAATGAATATTAATTTGCATATTTATTTATCTGTAGTTTTATTTATGCAGTGTTTTTGTATTTATTTATTTATTTATTTATTAAATTGCTTATTTATTTATTTATTTATTGTATTATTTATGCAGAAATGTTTGTTTTTATTATTAATTTATTTATTAATTTGCTTATTCATTTATTTATTGTTTTATTTATGCAGGAATTTGAGGATTTATTTACTCATTTATTTCTATATTTGCTTATTTTCTATTGTTTTATTTATGCAGGAATTTGAGAATTTATATACTGATTTATTTCTATATTTGCATTTTTATTTATTTATTATTTTATTTATGCAGGGATTTGTGGATTTATTTACTCATTTATTTGTTTGTGTATTTTTTTGTTTTGTTTTTGCAGGTTTCGTCCTCCATAAATGATAAATTGCATGGAAAAACTAATGACAAATGTCATCAATCTCATTTTTACAAAAGGTGCAAATATTAGCAACATCACAGTACTTGGACAAGAGTGTTTTGATTACAGGGGTAAATATTGTGCAAAATTTTAAAGTGCACCTTTTTATTTTATTAGAAATATCAAATGTATATGGTAATAACCATGTTTTCCTCCACTGAATGAACCCCAGAAAAACTCTCCTCTAGCAGTAGTTGAGTTTTGTGACGACACTAACATTCTATTAAAACTCATGACGTGTGGCCATTTAGAACGCTGTAGAACTCGCGAATTTAGACAGACTTCTGAACATTGCAGTGAAAATCACATTACGATCATTACTCTAGCGTTTTTTACTGTATAGTTACATCTGGAGTTTGATAACAAACCTACAATGGCTTGCGCTCAATCCCAACAACAAAGAGAACTGGCATTTGCAGCCCAGTTAGCTGCGAAACTTGCAGTACCACACCTGGAGGAGGACGACGGTCTTCAATCAGTCGTCGCCAACTTCATGTGGAATCTGACGGAGCAGTATGTCTATCACTTTTTTACTCTTATTACACGATAATGTATTGTTATAATAACTATAAACCGGTCAACCGGATCCTGCATAGTTATATAGTATATGAAGTAAATTGAGCTAGTTTCATTTAAGAAAATGAATAGCTAACCGTGCGTTAACCTTAGCTAGTTTAGCTTGAAGTAAAAGCTATTATGGATTTGGCCATTGTCAGTAGGTTGATGTTATATAAATTAAGGAATTTGTATGATTCAGTTAAATATTACAGTTTTAAATTCATCAAGATATTGAATAAATACATATTGTTTCTTATACTGGCATTTTTTGTGCAGTGGTTGATAAGCTGATTGTTATTAATGTATAAAAATACCCATATATATTAGCTTATATACAGTAATAACTTGATTACACCTGTTATACTAACAATTGTTTGTTCTTAGGAATCTGGAGGTGGTACAGGCGTCGTTGAGCTACCCGGTAAGTCTACCTTTCCATATTATTAATTAATACATGAGTTATGTCTCTTAGATTTTGGGGATGTTCTTTGAGTTTCTGTTACTTCTTATAAGCTAGTAAGTCCAGCATGATCTGGTTAAAGACAGTTTTTTATTAAGCACAACATAGATGGAGTGGTCAACGTGTAAACAAATGGCTTGCTAAATATTATGCAGGATTCATGAATGAGGTATGAAGACAAATATTGGTCAAATATGTATTAAACAGTGTTTAAAAATAATATATAATAAGAAAACATTCAGCTTAAAAACTCAAGATCAGCTTAAAAACTCAAGATGATTGAAATCCAGAAATAACTAAAAGTGCAACATTAGTAGCAGGCTATTAATTCTACCACCATATTGATAAAGTTATTGTTAAAAATGATAAGGGCAAATATATATATATAATTTATATGCCTGTCAGCATCATGCAAGTATTTGTGGCATAACATCCCAAGTGAAAAATTACTATAGTAAAGTATAGTAAATACTATAGTGTTGTTGAACCATACCATGGTAAATGTGTATTATCATTATTAAACAGGTAAGTGATATTCTAAGTCAGTCTCTCTCTTTTGTATGTTACAGTGCTGTATTTATACCATAGTAATTGTAGTGTATTGAGTTTGAGATGGGACTCACATATCAGGAATGTATGGATTTTGTGTTGCCCACTCTTTGGATAACCTTGAGTTGTTTGGTTGGCCATCTGTTTGTTTCTAATAAGTCTCCTGTTTTCCTTACTGCAGACTAGTTCAGTAAACAGAAAGAAAGTTGTAGAAAACTACATTATTGCATAATTTGTTTATATTTTTATAATTGCTGTGTCACCATAGCAACTACAAAATGACCACAGATTAATGAAAGTACTTGACTATAGTATGGTTCAAAAACACTACTATTTTCTATAAAATGCTATAGAATTTTAGGGATTACATTTGAATTAATGGACAAAGTAAATAAAAAGTAGAACTGTATATTAAATTTGATTCGATATGTGCTTAGATATGATTCCAGTGTTTATGTTTTATGTCATTAAAGGTCCTATGAAATTGTTAGTATCAGTATTGTTCGATTTTAAGATATCTATTAGCTAATGTGCTCCAAAGCTGTGACAAAATCTGTGTGTAGAAGATATAAAACAGATATAAACATGTAAGTTTGTCACTTCCACCCTAAATGGATCAACGGTTTTATTCAAGTCAATTACTTCAGTTTTTCGTCAAATCTTAACCAATCAAATGCTGTCTAGTATCTGGCATGCCCCGCCTCCTTCAAGACATTCGCTTTTCATTTGATGCGCTTGTTCTCAACCACTCTCACTGGGAGAGGGGTGATAAAACAAAAAGCTATTGGCTGTTTTTTTTAAAGGGGAGGAGCTACACTATGTCCCACCCTCTTATTGTGTTTCGTTTGAGATTACATCAAACATAGAATAACAATGCGTATTTCATAGGACCTATCAATCTACGATAGACCTAAAAACATCTCACTGCATTGTTTTTATGTTTCCACAGTTCTACAGACACCAAATCGATCAAATGCTGACGTCTATTGTGAAGTCAGCCACCACCACCGTATCTGATTTACTGCCCAAACTGTCAGAGATAACAGGTGTGAGTCCGTCAGCAGTGGTGAACCCGACATCCTCATCCACTGAAGACCTTTATCAGGACACATTGAGCATACCAGAGATCCTGAAGGTGGAAAAACTGCCCTTCATGCATCCCCTTGAAAGCTTTTACGGGATCACAGTGGAAAGTCTCATGGCAGACTGCAGCTTCCTGGACTCTTTAGGAGAAGTCAGTTTGCAGTCGTCTGAGCTCCCTGGAATTGTTGTGGAGCATGTTCTCCATCGGGTCAACATGGTGATGCATAACAATGTCCTGAAGGTCAACTTGGCATCATTGTCATCGTCATTCCTTTATTTCAGCCCTGATGAGTCCTGCAGTGCTATTGGAGAGTTGTTGATCAATGGAGTCATCCAAAAGCTCCGTTATTTACATCACTGCATCACTCCAGCAGCGGCCGCAACAGCAATCGGCACCGTTCTCGCTTCAATTCAGGGCCAACTTCCAACTGCCCATAGACAGAGTCTATCGGTGGAGGTCACAAGCAATGTGATCGAATACATAACAGAGGATGTCATTCGCTATTGGTTAAATGATCCCATTGAGGGGTCCAAAATTTGGAAAAGTGAAGACGTCCCTGTTCTGAGGCCAACATTTCAATCCACTGATTGTGGATTGTTGTTCCTGCTGACGTCAGATCAACTGTCATGCAGGCCTAAAACAAAAGCAACCACTTTATTTGACTCCCTGATGACCAATCGTTGCAAGTTGCAGTGTAGCAATCACTTCACTGGCAACAGTAACGATTCCGCAGTTTCAGATCGTCTGCATCAGGGACTTGCAGATTTAATGAACTGCCTCATCAGGCGCGAGACGCTCCTTCAAGTCAGACTGACCACGAAAGAGTTTCTTCGATATTTCGTGGAGGAGCTTGTGCACAGGCTTTTTGTGTCCTCTACCTTTCCGTGTCCTTCAAATCTGCCTGAAAATACAACACCGATGTCCTTCATCATCAAAGAAGCAGACTCCGGTCTGACGGTGGTGGATCATATGACAGCGCTGGTGGTCAGTCAAGTATTTGAGCTGCTGGCAAAGAAATATCCAGTGAGCGAATCTGACGAATCTGAACCGAAAACCAAAGAGGTCTCAGTTCAGGCGGAACCACCGAAACTGACCTTCAAGGAGAAGTTGAGGAACATGAAGGAGAGAATCCTTAAAAAGGTAAGCTTAAAGGGGAGTTATTATGGGTAAATCACTCTTATAAGGGGTTTAAACACAGCTGTGTGGCAACGCACGTCATGACTTTGTCAAGTTCGATGCGATCCTGGATTAACATGTTGATTCTGAAACATAATTTTTGTTGGAAAATGTAATCCATATCTATTCCCTACTCCTAAACCCAACTATAACTGTAAATTATTCCCAAAATCAGAAGGGAATAATAGCTGGATAACAATCATGTAGAAGTGCATAAACCTGAACAGTAAACATATCCCTTAATTCTGATTGGCTGATTGGAATGTTCTTCAAGATCGATGTTAATCCAGGAACATATCCTACTTGCTCTGTTAAAATAGTTGGGTTAAAATACCCCAACATATAACCCAACAATAGATAATTAAAGCACCTTAACAACTATGGGATATTTTATTCCAATGCATTGGGTTATTTTGATTAAATGTTATTTTTTCCATTCTGGTATTACTATCGAAGTACTACTATTATTTTCGAATTATGGCTCTGTGAATTATTGAATGTTTCTGCTGGGTCCTAAAGGCGAGAATGACAGCCGAATATCCCAAATATGTGTATCATTTTCTTGACAAAAAAACTGTAGAGATGAACACGGTAGAGAAGTGTGCGTTTGTATTATCAATAATTAAGAGTGCTGGTGAAACTAATTGAAAAGACACGACACGGATAGGTAATTTGATAATAAAAATAAAAATAATATTATTACGTTAGAGCTTAAATAAACTTTACAACGGAAAAACAACATTAGGCACGCATATTAATACAGCTGTTCTGTGTCAGTTAAACCAGTTGACTGTTGAAATTCAAAATTTTAACCAAACTGGGTGAGTTATTAAATACATAACCTAATAAAGGTTAAAAATAACCCAACAAAGCATCAAATATTTAACTCAACTGGTTGAGATATTATTAAATAACCTTCTAAAGGTGTAAAATAACCCAATAAAGCACCAAATATGTTTAATGAAACCATTGGGTTAAATAAATAACTCAGTGTTTTTTAGTGTGAGGTATGAGTTATACAAACTATTTGTGTTTTTTTTTTACTTATTATTATTACGCTTGAATTAATTGAGTGTTATTTCTTTGCAGCTTAACAAGCCCTTCACATCCAAAAAGGGCAGCAAGAAGAAGAAGAAGGACAAGGCTGAAGCAAAGGCAGAGTCACAAAAACCCAAAAAGAAGAAGTCACTTTTTGGGATGACACTTTTCTTCTCTGTGAAAGTGAAGAGTTAATGATTTCACTCCTGCTGTGCATGAAACTGTAAATATGATTTTGATGTGTTTTATTGTCATATTTGTGTGACATCCTAATAAAAAAATGTTCAAATAAATAAAAAGACTCCCTCTATGAGTTTTGTATTTACTATATGGATATTCAGCCATTTGAGGTTGCTCTGAGGTAAAACAACAGCAGGACAGGCAGCTTAGGGGACACCAAAAACATTTTTACTACAAAAATACTCCCTTAGTAATGACCAAACCAACTTGAACATTAGATTTAGTGTCCTCCCTAATCAGATTCCCTGCTTCAAATCATTTGAATATAATGCACATACCGGCCACTTTATTAGGTACACCTTACTAGTTCCAGTTTGGACCTTCAGAGCTGCCTTAATTCTTTGTGGTATAGATTCAACAAGGTACTGGAAATATTCCTCAGAGATTTTGCTCCATATTGACAAAATATTATCACACAGTTGCTGCAGATTTGTCGGCTGCACATCCATGATGCGAATCTCCCGTTCCAGCATACAAAGGTGCTCTATTGGATTGAGTGTTGATTGTGTGTGTGAGGATTGGTGTGTGTTGCCTGTTTGTTGATTTATTAATGGTAATATACTAAATCAATATTCAATGAGATTAATAAACAGTTATTTCCAGATGTGACGTGACGTGTTCAATCATTCATTTTCTTTTTGGCTTAGTCCCTTTATTAATCTGGGGTCACCACAGTGGAATGAACCGCCAAATTATCCAGCACATGTTTTACGCAGCGGATGCCCTTCCAGCCGCAACCCATCTCTGGGATGCCATCCATACACACTCATACACTACGGACAATTTAGTCTACCCAATTCACCTGCACTTTATGTCTTTGGACTGTGGGGGAAACCGGAGCACCTGGAATGAACCGCCAATTTATCCATCATATGTTTTACACAGCGGATGCCCTTCCAACTGCAACCCAGTACTGGAAAACACCCATACACACTCATTCACACTCATACACTACGGCCAATTTAGTTTATTCAATTCACCTATAGCGCATGTCTTTAGATTGTAGGGGAAACCGGAGCACCCAGAGGAAACTCAAGACAACACGAGGAGAACATGCAAACTCCGCACAGAAATGCAAACTGATCCAACAGAGACATGAATCAGCAACTTTCTTGCTGTGAGGCAACAGTGCTAACCACTGAGCCACTGCGCCATCCTGGATGCATTCATGATAGAAAAAACTCATACACCTCCAGGTTGCCTTTTGAGGTTGATTAAATCTGAATAGAAGTGAATTTCGAGGACTTCCTATGAGGTTAAAATTGTTCAGAAAGCATTATCATTTTAAGGGGGGGAAAATTCAATTCATCTTTATTTCAATAGCACTTTTGCAATGTAGATTGTGTCAACGCAGGTTAACATAGACGATCATAGTAAATTGAAACTGTCAGTCCAGTTTTCAGAGTTTAAGTTCAGTTCAGTGTGGTTTAATTTTCACTGCTGAAAGTCAAAACATTGAAGAGCACATCCATCGATGCGCAGCTCTAGGGTCCCAAACCATGCAAGCCAGTGGCGAGGAACAAACTTCACCAATTTGCGAGAGTGAGGAAAAAAAAAACCTAGAGGGAAACCTGGCTCAGGTGGGCACGACCATTTCTTCTATTACCAATGTCTTGTGCAGAGCTGCAGTCTAGGCACCGCTAGGCACCGATGGACGTCCATCGTGGAGAAGCTGCAGATGGGAGAGGTCACCGGCTGGTGTACAGGCTGGGCCACAGGATCAATGCGGAGACTCGTCTGTCTGTCACTGGGGTCTTACAGGAATCAGTCTCATGCTCTTCACTCCTCCAAGATCATCACAGCAGCTGCTCAGGACACGGTCTGGTCCAGGATTATGGAAACCTTGAGAATGATTAAAAAAGACTAACCAAAATGGAAAATGGTTCATATTTCATCAATCGTGGCAACAGACAGTTAACATTGGCTCAGGTTAAATTTGTTGGACTTTACCCTACACCCCCAGAGTCAAAGATTGGTCATATGCTTCAAATAAGCTCAAATCAACTTAATGAATCAAATGGATAAAGCAGATATGAGGTTAAACACACAAACAAAAGTTCATATATTTGATCAAAACAGGATTAATGGATAAAACAAAGTTAAAAAACATCTTAAATCCTTGAAAATATATCAGTACAATGAAAAGCTGGATATAATTAGTGAGTATAAACAACTCCAGTGAAATACCAAACTAGCCTAACGTAAAATAAAAAATGAAATATGCAACTACAATTTCAATATATAATAGATGTGCAAACAAAATAGAAATGGATTATATTTTATATATTATTTTAAAAATTTTACTTTTAATACTTTTGAATGATTTTTGTATGTTATTGTTGATGATAATATATAGGTTAATGTGGAATACAAATAAATATAATAACATATATATTTTTATGAACAACTGTCCCCATATTTGCAAGTAATTCAGTTATATCCACGAAGAAATATAAATGAGGAACATCCCGCTTTAATTTCAGTCAGGCAGATCTTCAGCCGCCGCTGCTAACATTTTCCCAGCGTTCCTTGCGAGCGGCCTTTTCCTCCATTTTTGAGATAGAATCAGGTGAGCGTTTAACAGCTCGACTTTTAAAATGTGATGTTTTAGCCTCATCTGATGTAAACTAAACCACGATTTACACTAATATAGATGAACACATTAATTAAGTCCATATACAGATGATTTCGCCTCTGTGGGACGTAAGATGCTTTGGATTTGAAACGGATTGTATGGTCCACTCGGCTCCAGCTAAACCGAGACCCGGAGCTCATTTCTGCCTTTCGCAAACGTGTTATTAAAGTATACTTTTAAGCTTGAGTTTTGTAGAACATTTACATGTCTAATTTCCTTATTTCTAGTAAGTAATAATAACCATGAAGCAAGTAAGTTTGTGTAAGAACGTGTTAGCATTTAGCATAAACATGCAGCAGCTCCGACATTACTTTGAATGCAGCCAGCACAAATGTATTTAAGACACAACGAGCTCACATTTTTGATCCTCACACTTAAATGTGTTCGTATTGTTTTGTTATTTAGGTTTGTTAGCCTGGTCAAAGGATCATCATGCCCGGAAGGTAAGACTCGAAAAGCTGTCAGTGTTGTAAATTTGAGTTGATGGAGAAATGTTCACAAACTTTATCAAGCGTTAATCTTTTGTCTATTGCTCAGCCACTTATTTAATGTGAATTGTAATCAATGCACAATTTTTGAAGAAGATATGGAGTCTTTCGAACTGATTATTTAGGTTTATTTTATATAAGTTAAAGTGAGATGACATCTATTAGCTAAGTTAAATGCCTGTCATACCTGACTTATTTAAATCTATAAAACAGGGATCATCAGACTTGTTCCTGGAGGGCCGGTGTCCTGCAGATTTTAGCTCCAGCCCTAATCAAACACACCTGAACAAGCCAATCAAGGTCTTACTAGGTATACTTGAAACACCCAGGCAGGTGTGTTGAGGCAAGTTGGAGCTGAACTCTGCAGGGCACCGGACCTCCAGGAACGAGATTGGTGACCCTTGTTATAAAGGAATTGTGATGTTGGAATTTGAGGTAAAGTTGGTTTATATTTGCACCTTTAGACTTTCGCCACATTAATATTCTTAATATCCTATTCTTAATGCAACCTCTTTCAGCAGAAGTATTGTTTGCAAATTCTAAACAGGGAAATCATTACCAGGCAATGACTGTCAAAGGAAATTGTTCATGGTCAATTTAATAGTGCTAATGTTGTTTTGAAGTCTTGCAAACAATATCAGTTGACTGAATATTCAAAGTAGTGTGGTAAACGTATAGGGAGCATGTCACAAGTTGTCACTGTTCAAAAATGAACGAATGTGTAAATATAAAACTAACTTTACCACAATTAGAATTTTTAGGTTGATGGTATTGTGGTGTTGGCAAATTACGCTATTACATTTTCAAATATATTTCTATAAATCGCTTAAGCTTATGCATCATTAAAAGGTCTAACTAATCTGTTTGATATTGTTTTGAAAAATAAACCCCTTTATTTTAGTTGTACATTTTTTTCTGATATTTTTATTTTATTTTATGCTGATTTTTACATTTTGGAGTTCTATTAAGATTTTTCTAATTGTTAGTTGGTGTAATGTTCTTTCAACCTTAAAAAAAACAGGTAAATTTGGTTTTCTATTTGCACGTGCGGACTTTTTGATAATATAATTTCAGAAAAGTATTCTTTGTAAACTCTAAATAGGGAAATCATATAAGCAGCCAATGACTGTCAAAGTACAACGTTGTTCACAGTCAATTAAACAGTGCTGATGTTGTTTTGAAGTCATACTTGCATACGATTTCAGACCAAATATTTAGTAGCGTTGTTCACAATATAGGGACTCTGCCACAAGTTGTCACTGAACAAATATGTGACTAAAACCAACTTTACCTCATTTTGAATTTTTAGGTTCATGATATTGTGATGTTGGCCAATTACTTGGTTAATAAGCGACTCTCTTTTTCAACAAGATTTTTTCAAATCCCTGAAGCTTATGGATCATAGCCCATAGCTAATCTTTTGAAGGTCTTTTTTGAGGAGTGAGCCCCTTTATTTTGATTTTGTACTGTTATAATTTAATTTACCTTGTTGTTTGTACTTTTTGGAAATCCATTAAGATTTTTTTAACTATTGTTTCTAGGTATTATCTTTCAACCGTAAAAAACATTGAGGTGAAGTTGATTTATATTCACACATGCTGACTTTCTCTTTAGTAATAACATTTCAGAAAAATATTCCTTGCAAATTCTAAATCATATTATCAGCCAGTGACTATTAAAGTACAACATTTAGTCAATTAAACAGTGCTGATTTTGTTTTGAAGTCATACTTGCATGCAATATTACACTCAATATTCAAAGTAGTGTGGTAAACAGTATAGGGACTGTGCCACAAGTTAAATTTTTGGGTTGATGATATTGTGGTGTTGGCCAATAACTTGATTCATAAACCACTTTTTTACTTTCTAAAAGATTTCTTTAAGTCCCTAATGCTTTTGTGTCATTAAAAGCCCCATAACTAATCTATTGAAGGTCTTTTATTGAAAAGTGAGCCCCTTTATTTTGTTTTTGCACTTTGTTATAATTTATTTAATTTGCTTTGTTTTTTTTTCATGCTGATTTGTACTTTTTGGAAATCTATTAAGATTTTTCTAGCTGTTGTTTCTTGGTATTATTTTTCAACCATAAAAACATATTGAGGTAAAGTTGGTTTTGTATTCGCACGTGCTGACTTTCTCTTTGGTAATATTATTTCAGATGAGTACAATGTTGTTCAAGTTGTTTTTTACATGCTATTTCCGACTGAATATTCAAAGTAGCTCAATAAATAATAAAGGAACTGTGTCAAGTTGTCACTGAATGAACGTGCGAGTATGAAGCCAACTTTACCTTAAATTATACTTTAACATGGCTGAAAATGATCAAACTGTCTGTTTTTAGGCTGTGGAGCAAGGCCATCTTTGCTGGCTACAAGCGTGGCCTGAGGAACCAGCGTGAGCACACAGCTCTGCTAAAGTTAGAGGGAGTTTACAACCGTGGCGAGGTCGACTTCTACCTGGGCAAACGCTGTGCCTACGTCTACAAGGCCAAAAAGTAAGTGAATGACACTGCTGTGTGTTTATGGGACAAGTAGCATGAGTGAGGAAAATTTTGTGCTGGTGTCCTGACATTTTATCCTACCCATCAGATTATGTTGCCCATACTGTATTTGAATGGTTCTGATATTGGGGTTAGGGATTAGGTAGGTTAGGGCGATATTACAGCTTCATATCACACTACTCCATATTAAAATTTACACTTGTAGCAAAGTCTGATAGGTAGCATATTGATTTTTCTACCTACTTTTTGAAGGGGAGGTTGGACAGTCTGACAACGTTGGACAAATTGACAGAACACTAGAACAAGACTGACAGTATGATAATCTTCATATATCAAAAATCTATCTTTAAAAATTATCTTTAAAGCTTCTTTTAAATTTCTGAAAAAACAGCAACCATTTTCCCTCGCATTGAACACAATATATTTTAAGAAACCTTACAAATATTTTGAAACAGTAAATGGCTAACATGGCTAATTAATTGAAATAAATCATTGACTTTGCTATCTTTTAGTTTCAAAGACACAGATTTCTAGAGTTTCAAACTGATTTTCTAAAACTAGAATTTCTAGTTTTAAAACTGATTTGTTTAAACCACGGTAAACCTTGAAACCAGTTATCCTCCCATGCCTAGTAGTTGTGATTATGCTGTGACAGTCTCGGCTATCATTACTTTAATAAGGGCAGTGCAATATTTGAACGATCTTCAAACTGCAATAGTTTTTCTGTGATAATATATTGTTAAGTTTATTCACATGACTGAATCAAATAACTGTATTTGGGGAAATAAGCTAACTTTAGATTGATTGGGCTGATTCTGTAGGCCATTGAATTGTGCATAAAATATAATGAACAAATTACAAGCATAAATGCATACAATAGTGCCAAAGGTGAAAGTCCAAGTTTTCTGTGAAGTCAAACATTATTCAGGCACAGGAATTAAATAATCAAGCGTAAAATATCACTGCAAATCTTCATTGTAAGTATATGTGTGTGTGTGTATGTATATATGTATGTGTATGTATATGTATATGTGTGTGTATATATATATATATAATTATTTTTTGATCTATTTAACTTATAAATAATATGTTATTATACCTCAGTGCTTAAATGCATGCAAATGATAAACTTTCGTACAATTATTATTACTCTGCCTTCACAATAAATAGTCCAGTTTTTAGTCATTTTTATTGTTTGAGCTTTTATTTATTATAAATAGGCCAATAAACAGTTTGTGTGTAGCTTTGTATAAGTGTTTTATTAAATATATATTGTGTAAGTTTGTATATTTAAATGAAAAATAAAATTTAATTTTTTTTTTTTTTTTTTACTTGTAATGTTTAAAAAATATATAGTATTAATGGCTTTTGTGAATTGGAAAAATGTGACATTTAAAATCAATATGCACCCCAAGTGTTCACATGTGTTGCACTCTTTTGAACTCTATGAATGAATGGCATTTTAAAGTAAATACTATATTGGGAATGAGAAACTAGCTGTTGTTACCAATCACATAAAATTTGTTTTAACAAAATATATTTTAGCATTGCAGAATTGGCACAAACTAATCAGTTTTAAAAACAATCGAGTGTTGCTTGCAGAGCATCAGTTTTGCTTTGTGTTAGCTTTCATTGGCAAAATAGAGCGCAAACATCACACCGACATTATTGGTTTCATTGATCTGCTGCATGGAATCAGTCATATGGAAGCATGCTGATATTTGTTCTGATAACAGCTGAGCTCTTGTCATGCTGCTGATCTTTAACGATATAAATAGGAGCAGTTTTTGCCACTGTATCTTGAGATTTCTGACTGTGACTGATCATAATTCATTTTAGGTTGATACAAACGGAGTGAAAGTAATGCAATATTGATAAATGAAGCTATTCTTCATTGTGATCTAGAAAATAACCATTGCACCTGTTCCAGAAGTGGACAAATAAGCAATGCAAAAAAGTTAGTGATGTTTTGCTGCTGTTTCAAAATGTTGAATGTACTGTATGATGATCATTTACTAGAGCCTTGTGAATTATAACATGAATTTTAAAAGCAGACTTATTAATTGTTAAGTTGACCCTTGATATGATGCTCAGTCTAGTATTTTAATAAATAGTGCTTTTTGTGAACTGTTTGTTAAAGTTTACTTGTATTTTAATTGTTAAAAATATTATTTTTAAAATAGTGACAAGTATATTCTTACACACTAAACAGAAGTAATGTGTAATTCTGTGGTGATTTTATAATTGTGTATACATAATGGTCATCATTGACATGATCATGTTCTATTATGAACTGCTTGACTTAATGACACAAGAGCACTAACACTTTAGCATTAATTGACTGTGTTAATTGTGTTTTTTTTTTGTTTTGTTATTAATAGGAAGACCGCAACACCCGGTGGTAAACCCAACAAGACACGTGTCATCTGGGGTAAAGTCACACGCGCTCATGGAAACAGTGGAATGGTTCGTGCCAAGTTCAAGAGCAATCTTCCCGCAAAGGCTATCGGGCACAGAATTCGTGTGGTAAGAGTCTTAAAGTTTTGTCTGTCTGAAAAAAGCTTTTAGAGCTGGTTTTGCTTGGTTTTTGGTAGTGTGCTCGGTTCATTTTAATTTACCCATCATATGCATTCATTTAAGATGTGTTAGGGCGCTTTTTCACTGTATGGTTTGCTTCAGTACAGCTTCGTTTTGGGGATTATTTTTGTCCCTCTTCGGTTGATGTTCCAATCAAGCCATACCTTTAACAAAATGTGACACAAATTCTGCTGATCATTTATTGGTTCAAAAAACACTTAAACTGCAATATCCGCTTGTTAAGTGGTGACGTGTTTGTGACGTATGTATACCGTTTCCGGGTCCAAGCCACCACTCATTTGAGTGGAGAAATCATTCGTTTATGATCACGTTTTATTTTTATAACCAGCATTTTGGACGGTTAACATATCTCATAATCTATTCAGAATAAAGGTGCAGTAGGTGATCTGCCAAAATGCATATCGGTTAGCATATTAGCTTTGGATGGCAGGGGAGGGACTGTGATTTAAAGCCACGCAACACGACAGCAGACAACCCACTAGTTCATTCACCAGTTAAAAATGTATGGAGTGGTGGCCTGGCGGCGTGCAGGAATTTCACTCACTAAACAATGCATGCTATTTCAGAGAGAATATTGACAGTAGCTGGTAAACAATATAGGGAGCGCGTCACAGGTTGTCATTGTTCAGAAATGACCCAATGTGCATATAAAAGCAACTTCAGCTCAGTAAAGCAGGCTAGGTGGAATAGCGCTATTTACTGGTGTTTTGTTGTTAAACTAAATAAAAATCTGCATTATTGATGCTGGAAAAGATCTTATGAAACTGAAAATAGTCACATCAATCTTTCACCGGGAGTGGCTGAACAACACTTTCGTGCATATGACACATTTGTAACGACAACATCTGCGTCAGCTCTGCGGGAAGCTAACATTGTTTTGAAACAGAACATTACCTGTCTAACAGAAATACTTCAGCCATGGTGTCGACTTTCCTCCAGCGTGCTAAAGTAACTCTAATACGGATTCAGGAGTTTAAAACGTTTCAGCATTTGATTTTCCCACGACTGTGACTGTCTTGTGTGCACATGTCGTGAACGCACGGCGCTCATGCAGGCGTGCACATGCTAATGGCGGATATGCATGAACAGATGCGCGGAAGCCCAAATCTGCATTTGCTGACAGACAGTTTGAGCTACTTATCAGAATTATGGGAGATGTCGGCCTGACAATATTTAATTGGATGAACTTTTTTTAGTTGTATGCCTTATCCAGAATATATAAATGCATATAAACACATTTAGATTGTTTACTATTGGGCTGTGAAGAGACTTTCCACCAGCACAACAACCCTAATTGTCATCTCACGCTGGCCCCTTACTGGGCAATCCTTATTGATAAACTCAGTTTTTGAATGGTATTTTATTAAAAAGCAATGTTCAACCAGCCATAGTGGCTAGCGGGAGTGCCTCTCTAACCCGCCACAGCTCAAGTCTACCTGTATTTGACGGGTTGGCAGGTGTTAATGTCGAGCTCTGTTCATATGTGGTAGTTCAGTGCAAATGTGTTCTCTTGTCTTTGTTTAAATGAAGTGGAAGGGTTAGTTGTAAATGCGTATTTTTAAAGCTGTAAATGTTGTATGTAATTCACTCATTAACTGCCAATAACCTATTTTATCCTCAAGTTGTTACTAATTTAAAAGCCCAAGCATTGAACATGTGTCTAATTTTCCGGGTTTTTCTTTTGTCTTGCAGATGCTGTACCCATCTCGTGTATAACATGCTTTTGTGTACAGACAATAAAAAAAAAAGAGAAAAGGTTCAAGTTGTCTTTGTGGTCTCTTTTTTTATTTTTGTTGTCCTCATTTGTTGAAGAACTGAAAATAGACTTGTCACCACTTCCTTATTCATCACTGGGTCTTTCGACCAGAACGAGACCGACTGTCAAGATTTATTACAGATCAAGAAAGCAGGAAATGCAAATGGAAAAATACTGACTGCTGGGTAAACGAGATGAACTGCTGAGCTTGTCTGAAGCCGCTCAGAGATGTTTAATCTTTAGACTTAACTCGTTTTCAGAGGCCATTAATGCAAATCTGAGTAGAGTTCACACTGAAAGTACATGGGATGAGTCTGATATAAACAAGATGCCATGTGACTTTATTTCTTATTTTCTTTGTATATTTGACGTATATTGTTGAGGAATAGTAAAACAAGTTAGATTTGGAAACCCTCTACATGGCTAAAATGAAAATACGTAGTATTCTTATTAGTATTTATAAATCTAGTATTTGTAGTGCTTTTCAAAACAAATCTATTCAGTGTAGCTGTTTTATGGAAATACAATAAATTGTGAATGCACTCAAATCAGAGTTATTAAAAACCTTAAGATTTATTAGTTGTTTGCATAAAATGTCATTTGATTTAATCTTTAAACTACTCTGGATGTGTTTAGCAAGTAAATTTGCACTTGTTTTTTTTTTGTGCTTAGTGACATTTTCACTATACAGCTTTTGAAAACCTACTGGTGACATGTTTGCCAAATAATTTGGCAGTAATGTTGAGGGGGTTTTTACATGAACTGGTATATTTTTACAAAACTTGACTTAAAGATGAGTATAATGTAATTTGTTTAATTCTTTAAACTACTGGTGATGTGATTAACAAATAAATTGGCACTATTGTGGGGTTTTTTTGTGTATAAATTGGCATATTTTCACTATACAGCTATTGACAGCTATTACAGCTTAAGATTTGTTGTAGTTTGAGTAAAATGTCATTTGTCTTATTCTGTAAACTCCTGGTGACATATTTAGCAAATAATTTAGCAGTAAGGTTTTTTTTTTCATAAAGTGGTATATTTTTACAAAACTTGATTTATGGTTGAGTATTATGTACTTTGTTTAATTCTTTAAACTACTGGTGATGTGATTAACAATTAAATTGGTAACACTTTACAATAAGGTTCATTAGTTGATGCATTTACTAACATGAACTAATCATGAACAACACATGTACAGCATTTATTAATCATAATTGAACATTTACTTATGCATTATTAACATCCAATTCCATGCTTGTTAACATTAGTTAATGCACCGTGAGTTAACATGAACTAACAATGAACTACTGTATTTACATTAACATGAACAAATACAGTAGTAAATGCATTAATTAACATTAACTAATGAACCTTATTGTAAAGTGTGACCAATAAATGTGACTAATATTTAGTTGTTGTTTTTTGCATGATGTGGCATATTTTCACCATACAGCTATTGAAAACCTTGATTTATTAGTTTTTTGAGTAAAATGTCATTTGTTTTATTCTTTGAACTACTCGTGATGTGTTTTGCATATACATTGAAACTAATATTAAGGGTTTTTTTATGCTCAAAGTGGCATTTTTACCATACAGCTATTGAAAACCTTGAGATTTATAGTTGTTTAAGTGAAATGTCATGTTTTATTTGTTAAACTTTTTGTTATGCGTTTAGCGTATTATTTCAGCTAATATTTAGGGCTTTTTTTTTGCATAAAGTGGCATATTTTCACTATACACCTATTAAAAACCTTGATTTATTAGTTGTTTGAGTGAATTTTTTTTTTTTGTGTTAAACTACTGGTGATGTGTAGCATATTAATTGGCACTAATGTTTAGGGGTTTCTTTGCACATTCGCATATTTTCACCACAAAACCTTGAGATTTATAGTAGTTTGAGTCAAATGTAATTTGTGTAATTCTTTAATCTACTGGTGGCATCTTTAGCAAATAAATTGGCAGTAATGTTAGGTCTTTTTTTTTTTTTGCTTAAAAAGGCATGTTTTCACCATACAGTTGTTGAAAACCTTGAGATTTGTAGTTGTTAAATTGAAATGTCATTTATTTGTTAAACTACAGGTGATATGTTTCGCAAATTGAAACTAATACTTAGGGATTTTTTTTTTTTTTTTGCATAAAGTGGCATATTTTAGCCATACAGCTGTTGAAAACCTTGAGATTTATTAGTTGTTTGAGTCAAATGTCATTTGTTTATGTAATCTACTGGTGGTATGTTTAACACATCAATTGAAACTAGCATTAAGGGTTTTGTTTTGCATAGTGGCATATTTTCTCCATACAGCTATTGAAAACCTTGAGATTTATTAGTTTGAGTGAAATATAATTTGTTTTAATATTTAAACTACTCGTGATGTGTTTAGCTCATAAATTGACACTAATGTTGAGGGGTTTTTGCTTAAAGTGGCATATTTTCATTCTACTAATATTTAGTCAACACGATGCTAATGTTTACTATGCTAATGCTAACTTCAGAGGACTTAAGAATTGATCGTGATTATTCAAGTTTTCTCTTTATCAGCATTTGATATCAGGAAGAAATGTTATTAGACCTTTAGAAAAAGCAAATATAATTTAATCAAACACACACACACAACGTTAACGGTAACTTAGATCATAAATACAATTTAACGGAGAATTTTACAGTCAGTATTTTCCACTAAACATAGTTGCAACTTAATTTTGTGTAGTTTGTGAGTTATAATTTATAATAAACAGTGAAATCTATTTGTCGTCTAATATGTTGAAAACCCTAAAATTTTAATTGCATCCAAAGATTACATTATTAAAACTGCTTAACTCTTAGTTTATGACTTACTCTGGTATAAAGCTAAACCAAATAGTGGGAAATTCATTGAATTGTACCAAATTAAGTTTACAGAACTGCTGTGTGCGAGGTTATACTTGCAGATAATTATTAAAATCCACAAGATGGCGTTTTGAATCATATTTTAAAGTCGGAATATTGACTTGACCGTTCGAACGTGTGTGTCAGGTATAATTTGAGATGAAATTATATGCCTATTTTGTGCAGTATCATCATCTTCTTCACCTTGCTGTACTTTCTGCTACGGTAAAATTCCACTTATCATCATCATCATCATCATACTGCAATACTATCAGTTTGACTGCAGAGGATGCGCGCCCCGTTTTACTTGCAGAATAAGCTCCGCCTTTTGTCTGCGCTCTGACGCTTTCCATTTGTGGTGAATTGTGGGTGCTGTAGTTCTATCATATCCGATCAAAACCGCTTGTAAACGCGCATAAACTACATTTCCCAGAGCGGCGCCCAGCTGAATCCTTCAAATAGCTGGTTTATAACGAAGTTGTTTTGCTTCATCCGCTGTTGAAGATCTGCAGACCACCAAGAGGAACAGGTATCTGCTGCAATGTACACTTTTTTGTCTAGTTTTTAGCTTTTAAGATATGATTTAATATTCTTTGCGCTATTTGATGTTTGTTATTTTTACACCATATTAACAAAATGTATTATTTTAAAAACGTAACGTTAATCATTTAAATTCGTTTGACATGTCTTTGTAAATATTATATATGTATAAGATGATTATAACAATAATAACAAAAGCATTTTTTCGTATTATATTGCGTTGCCAGGATGAACATCCTTTTTTTTAGTCGGTGTCTTATATCCTGATGTAGGTGACATCTATTGTCTCGAGTTCAGATGATGACGGGATATTTAATATGAATTTATCTAATGCATTTTGATAACATTTTAAATCATGTATTATAATAATAATAATAATCTTGGAGACAGCATAAATATCGATTTCTACCAAAACACACAAAATTACATTATTACAACAGGAATATCTATTTAAGGTGTGTTTTTTTGCCATAATAAAAATACTGTTTATCTGATTAGATGTTAAGTAGCCTATATATTATATACGTTCCCCCGTTTTTTGTTTGGTTTAGTCTGAAACCCATTAGATGTCCCTGAGTAAAGCCCGTGTGGTTTGTTGTTTGTTCGGGAACTGTTTGTTCTGACTTGAGATGCGGGGCCTATTATACTCAGACAAACACGACAAAGACTAATAGAGATATCAAATGTCACCTAATGTAGACATCGTTTGTGTTTTTACTGCGTCTTCCGAGAAATCAGTCTATTAGTCAAAGCGCATTAGGTTAGTCGTCAAATAAACCCCGCTCTCTCTCTCTCTCTCTCTCTCTCTGAATAAATCGATATATTTATGTGTATATTCATTCACGACAGCATCTCTTTAATGTCCGGTAATAAAAAAAACATATTGGTCGTGTGTTAAAATCTAGCGAGCTGTCTATATAGTCAGCATCGTTAGCGGCAATGTTTTTAGGCATCATATGTGAGTCACGTGATGGGAACTTGTTCGGGCATATCGTACAAGTGAAATAAATGTAAAGATATGATTTTTGCTCCTGTAAAACGTTACAAGTAAGAAGATTTTGCACTCTTTCTTATAATGTACATTCTCGTTAATCAAATGTGTAAAAATTCATTATGTATTAGGCTATAAGTTGTATTTTCTTATCAGTTATACATAATTTTAGTGCTTGTTGTACTGGCGTTCATATATGCTCATTTAAATTAAATAAATTGCATTTTTACGTTTTTTTTTCTGACGAAATGCAAAACATTAGATGCACTATAGACCATTTTGAGGGATGTAAACAAAAACAATGGTCCCAACTTATTTCCTGTTTTACATTTTTAGTTTCTATTTCATCCGAGAATCCAAAAAGAGCCCCAAATTGATAAATAATGTTATGACAGCTGTTTTAACATTAAGTTATGATGATTACAGTTATGAAATAGTTTGATAACAAGCAGGAAATGTTCATGGGCCAAAGACATGACCACATTGAAATGGTCTTTAGTCCTCCCAGCAGGCACAGAACGTCGACATGACGTCAGGTAGACGTTGTACCCCATCGTCGTGGGACGTTGGATTTTGCTTGGAAATGAAAATCTGGTTGATGTCAGAACCCAACATCAGGCCAACGTCAATGTTGACGTTGGACAGGCGTTGCATTTTGGTCACTTTCCAACGCAACCTAATAACAACAAAATGGCAATGTCTAATAATGGTACAGCTTGACATTGTGTAGACCAGTGGTTCCCAAAGTATGGGTTGCGACCCCCTGGGGCTTGCTGATTTCCAAAAATCTCACATATGTTATTAAACTATTTGAATTACCATAATGTATCCAAACCTACAGAAGATAAAATAGTATTTAATAGTTACATAAAAAACAACATGCAAAGAAAAAGCCATCAGCCTTTAAATTCTTTTTCCATTGGATAGCGACCCCTGGGGTTATTACGCTAGATTAAAAACACAGCAGTAGTGTTAGTTGCAGCAGATTGATTTTACGTCCCAATGTAAAACTTTGACATATTTACGGCACTCGCATACATTAAAAATAACTACAACTGAACATAGAGGCTCCAAAGATCATCTCCAAAATTAAACCAAGAGTCTTGAGCTGTAAACACTGCACTCTCCAGTCTCATTAAGTGCGGTTTACATTAAAAAATGAATAATGACTGTAAAAATTATACTGTTGTTAGACTGTTGCACTTTTTTGTGTTGTCAATAACCACTTATAACCCTAATAACAACAATAACCCTAACCACCTCTGAGGATAGTGCGGGTCATGAGTCACTGGAATTGTTATTTTGGGGGTCGGGAGCTGAAAAGTTTGGAAGCCCCTGGTGTAGACGTTACCACTATGATGTCTATCGGACTTTGGATTTTGGTTGCCATAGCTGATGAATAAATGTCAGTGTTTGATGTCAATATGACGTTGGTTTAAGACAGTGGTTCTCAAAGTGGGGGTCGGGACCCCCCGAGGGGTCGCGGGGCAATGAAGGGGGGTCGCCTGGTGATTTCCAAAAATCTATTTATTTTTATTAAACCATAAGAATTAACATATTTTATCCAAAACTATACTGAAAATAAAAATAGTCGTTTATAGTTACTATATAGTGTATAGTTACTATAGTAGCTTATAGTTACTAGTTCTATTGGATAGCGACCCCTGGGGTAATTACATTATATTAAAGGCAGCAATAGCGTCAGATGCATTTTGATTTTATAACATCAGGTTATACTTTCTGGCACATTTAAAGCACTGACACAAATTTAATTGATGCGTCTGCGTCAATGTATGCAAGGTTTCTGTATTTATAACCACCTCAGAGGGTATTGGGGGTCGCGAGTCACTGGCATTGTTATTTTGGGGGTCGCGGGCTGAAAAGTTTGGGAACCCCTGGTTTAAGATATTGGCTCAACGTTGGATTTTGGTCACTTTCTACCAACCTAAAATCAACCAACTATCAACGTCATTATTGGATGTCAAAATAACGTCCTTAGACGCTGAAGAACCTAAATCTAACCTAATATTAACATCTTACGATGTTGTCTGTCTGCTGGGCTGATAATTTGGGATCTAAATTTAGAAATGCAATATGATTTTAATAATTGTACTGCCAATCATTTTAGCTTATTCAAATTAGAACTTTATTACTCGAATTTATTTATTTACTGCAACACAGTAAAAATGCCCTTTGTATGCGATTGTGACCATTTTAGATAAAAATTGGTGTTAATTGTGAAGAAAATAAATATCTTCTTCTCCTTTATGTGATGTTTTCATAAAATTCACCAAGTCATGTGCAAAATTTGACCAAAAATAGCCATGTGGGTAGGTTATTACTTGAAAGTAGCTGCTAAAAGTCACTTCATTTACAGTAGATATCACTTAAATTTACATAAAACTCATCATTCATTCATTGTCCTTCTGCGTAGTCCCTTTATACATCAGGGGTCGCCACAGGGGAATGAACCGCCAACTTTTCCAGTGTATGTTTTACACAGTGGATGCCCTTTCTGTTGCAACCCATTACTGGGAAACACCCATACACTGTCACATTCACACACATACACTACAGCCACTTTAGTTTAATCAATTCACCTATAGCGCATGTGTTTGGACTGTGGGGGAAACCGGAGCACCCAGAGGAAACCCACGCCAAGACAGGGAGAACATGCAAACTCCGCACAGAAATGCCAACTGACTTAGCTGGGACTCGAATCAGTGACCATTTTGTTGTGAGGCGACAGTGCTAACAACTGAGCCACCTTGTCAGCTTTACGACAAGCTATGTGGCCAAATATGATGCTTGTACATACAATTATTAACCAGCACAAACACATTTAGTCAAACTTCAGAGGTGGGCTTAAATGGGATTTGTGCATATAACGGCTCGATTGATGCTGACTAAACTAGAGTAACATTTCCGTTCACTAACCCATCCTCCTTCTTTCTCTTCAGATTTGGTGACTTTGACAATATAAAGCTCTGAGTTGAAGCAACAAAAGCGCTCCTATGTTGGTAAAAGAAGATGAAAGGACATGATTTGGGAAAGGACTGCCTGGCAGCTGGTTCTGCGTACAGAGCCGTACCATCCAGAGAGACCTTACCCGGACCTGACGGAGACCATTATGAGCTGTCTAAAGTGCAGGTTAGTCTAATATACACGCAGTGTCGATTGGTAAATGAAATGTTTGAAGTAGGGCTGGACGATATTGCAAATATTTGTGATAAAATCTGCAAGAAATATTGCGATATGAATACAGTTTCACAAGATAGCTTTGAATCGGTTTTCTGGGGAGTCTAAGGCTGCACTGTTCAAGTGACTTAGTGTGGTTTCACACCTACACTTTTGTTTCGGAACGTGTCTCGTTTGCCCAGTTAGCGCGGTTCGTTTGGCATATGTGAACAGTTCAATCGCGATCTGTTCTGCGCCAAAGTAATCGCTCAGAAATCGCTTGAATAAGGTGGTCTCGGCTCGATTGAAACGAACCCTGGAGCGGTTCGATTGCAGTGAGAAAGCGATCCGATCCGAGCGCGGTTATATCACAGTGTTTTATGGATATGTAATAGGCTTACGGCTATATGAAGAGAGAATTAGAGTAGGGCGGGAAGTTTTGCGAGTCTCCAGATGCCCGCAAACGAGTGATGATCTCCCGGTAATCTCGTGTCTCCCTCCCGGTCCTCAAATAGGCAACGTCGCGCACCTTTCTCACCCCTCTCCATCGCGTCACGCGCGCGCACCCTGTCAATCACCACCAAAGCACCATCTCTCCTGACAGCTGAGCGGGACGCTGCAAAATACACCCTGACACTCTGACCAATATAAGGAGAGTTTACTCGCACGTGACTTGTTTTAGCTCTTTTGGTCTGATTAGAAACTTTGCAGTGTGAAAGCGAACCGCTCCAAGAGCAACAATGTAACAATTGTAATCTCTGTTTCGGAACAACTGAATCGATTCACAGGTGTGAAAGCACCCTTAATTTCGTTTTTTTCTCCTGTGTGGCACAGATCGGATATGACCCATGTACGTGTAAGCAGGAACAAATCACATGGATTCAGATTTACTCAAATCAGATTCAGGCCTTGTTCACATGTGTAAATTTATCCGATATGAATCGGATCTGTGTTTTCATGCCTGCAGTGTAAGCAGGTAGATCAGATATTTACCTGTCAATGCGAGTCACACCTCATTAAAAACCATAGCGAATGACGTCAAGTCTGACACTTTCATTTCAGAACAGACTTCAGCAGAGTCCCAAACCTTAAATCTCATACAAGAAGACTTAAACAGCTTTTATATTGTCATATAGCACAGGTATTTAAGCATGTTAACAAGAGAGAGAGAGAGCGCAATGTCCGCCACGTAACCAATATAAACTAATATAAAACTAGTGTATACATCAACGTGCATAAATCACGTCATGGACATTACATTTAAGATGCCTAAAGGTTTCAAAAAGCCAATATATCAAAAGAAGATGGACAAATGAGAACCTTTCTGACATAAACTATGGTAAAACAGCTTGTCAAAAGCTGCGAACAGATTACATACAGGAATAGAGAAAGAGCACTCTTTAATTATCAGCTGTTAGTCAGCGCCCGCTCATTTTTTTTTTTTTTTTTTCCTGGTCATTGCGCCTTTGCCGTGTGCTGTGTAAATGCAGATGATCCGATACGAATCACTTTTAAAAGATGGTGTTAGCAGGTCATCAAAAAAATCGGATACAGTCACAAAATCGGAATTGACCATCAAGATCTGCCGCCTAAGAGAATTCAGGTACAGAAATCAATGCAAAAATATGTTTTTTTTTTACTTTGCTTTATCTTGTTTCTAGTCTAAATATTTAAAAATACTTAGATTAAGTTAAAATATTGTTTTTACTTAAAACAAGCAACATTACCTGTGAGTTGGGTAAGTAAAATAATCTTGTTTTCGCTTTGAAATGTAGATATTTGGACTAGAAACAAGACAAAAAGTCTTAAGTATTTATTTTTTTTGTTGCATTTTTTGTATAAATTCCATATAAATACATTCATTAAATACAATTCTGTAGCTCCTGGTCAACTGTAATTCAGACTCAACACTGCAGATCTTGCAATGTGACTATTGTAGATGAGCACATTGCGATATCGAGGCTGAAACTACATATTGTGCAGCTCTAGTTTGAATGTATTGCTCTTGAACTTGAACATGTGGTTTGAAACAGCACATAGGTAAGCCAGTCAAATCCAGTCAATCCAATTGGAATTTGAGCAGTTGAGAATTTTTGCACGAGGGTGAAATATTTCCCCATGCAGTATTAAGTAGTTTTGGTTTAAAAAGTATTAAGTAGCTTGGTTTGAAACTCTTCTGTGAGTTTACTGACAATAGATGTCAACTGATAATCTGTAAACTGTTTGATCAGTTTACTGGTTTTCTGTTGAACACAAAAGAAGAAATTTGGAAAACTGTTGAAAACCTGTAACCATTGACTTCCATAGTATTTGTTTTGCCTTCCAGGAAGTCATTGGTTAAAGGTTTTCAACGTTTTCAAAACATCTTCTTTTGTGTTCATCAAAAGGAAAAGAAACAAGTAACGCCCCATTCACACGGGGCATCAGCGTCAACGCTTCCCATTCACTTTGAATGGTGACGTCAGGCGTTGCCGAACTGCATTGTGGATCCGTCAGCGCCGCTTCAGAGGCGTTGCTCGCTGCAGAAGTTGGGAAGCGTCGGCCAATCAGATCGCTGTATGCACATACACCAGCTAGACAGTGTCCTATTGCTGACTGTATTTCATTGGCCGACGCTTCTATGACGATCATTTCAGCCCCAACTTCAGACACGCCTTCAGTCAAGCGTTGACGCTGAAGCCCCATGTAAATGGGGCGTAAAGGCTCAGTAGATGATGACAGAATCTTCAATTTTGGGTGAACTAGCCCTTTAAGAGCCCGATCTATCTCTTCAAATCCTTAAAAAAAGAACACAAAAGAAGATATTTTGAAAAATGTTGAAAACCTGTAACCATTGACTTCCATAGTATTTGTTTTTCCTACTATTAAGTCAATGGTTACAGGTTTTCAACATTTTTCAAAATATCTTCTCTTGTGTTTAACAGAAGAAAGAAACAAGTAAAGGGTGTGTAAATATGACAGAATCTTGATTTTTAGGTGAACTTTTCCTTTAAGTTTTAACAACAACAAACCAAAAAAAATATAGAAATATAATGTAAAAAATCCTATAAACATGATTGTTTCTGTATGGAGGCATACAGTAAATTAATACAAGATTTAAATTTGATCTATCCCTTTATCATGAAAGCTCTGCAGGTGTTGTTTGTGTTGCTAAAAGCATATCCAAGCCCTTTTGTGTTTGTTTTGTTTGTGCATTGCACTCCCGCCGTCAGCGTTTAGTCAGCATGTTAAGAGAGGCTTCAGTGCTGGCCACAATTTTCTTTGTCTTTTTCCATCACGCTTTCTCTCTCTGTCTGTGTATCTCTCAGCCAGTCAGTACATCACTAGATATGCCATGAATGTGCAGCGATTGGCTGTTCACCCTGTATTTAAAAGCTGGATCTGTTTACATAATTTAGACCCGCCTTACTTGGCACCGACAGCCAATTGCAATCCTGTGTTCCGGTGATGCGTGCAGCGGTCCTTGGCAGCTGATAGGTGCTGGATAATGCTGTGTGTTTGTGCAACGTGAGCGCGTTAGAGGGCCATGGGAAGAGTGTTGGGGAGAGGGGAGGGGGGGTGTCCTGCACGTGCTGAAGAGCAGTGCAAAACGCTTCATGCCAGGCTTCTCTCATTCATTTAATCCAGCCAGACACGACAAATTCTTCTCAGTCTTGCTTTTTTTGGCATTATGCTTACCTAGAGGCGTTTTAACATGGCTGTTACGTAAATAATGGGATGCATTGAGCTGGTGCGGGAATGTGTAGGGTTTGGCTATTTACCCTCTGCACGTTTATTCACTTCCTGTCCTTCTTTCGGTCGAGCTGATGTTCTTGGCAATGCCTTTGGTTTCTAGATCGTTCTGTTCTCGATCCCTCATGCATTTTGATCAGCCCTAGATAAGGTTTTTTTGTGTGTTCAGTCGGCTTCCCATGAGAGCCAGTGACAGAGCTGTTGAAGCTGATTCATGTTTCGGCTGTCATGAAAATGAGCTTGTGTGTTTCAGTGCTTTTTCAAATGTCATCTGCCCATTTCTTTTTCATATTTGATTTGAACTTTCTTGACTTTCTTATTTGCAAATAACACAGATGAGTATTAAATGCAGAGCATTAACATAAAACAGAACAATACAAAAAAAAAAAAATCAAATAAATCAATTAGATCATGTACAGTTAGGGTCTAAATAATTCGCCCTCCTGTCAATTTTCTTTTTCAAATATTTCCCAATGATGTTTAACAGATTCAGGATTTTTTCACAGTATGTCTGACAATATTTTTTCTTCTGGAGAAAGTTATTTGTTTTATTTCGGCTAGAATAAAAGCAGTTTTAATTTTTGAAACACCATTTAAAGGTCAATATTGTTAGTCCCCTTAAGCAATATTTGTTTTAATTTGTCTACAGAACAAACCAATAACCTGCCTAATAAACCTTGTTAAGTCTTTAATGGCCTGTGTTCACTGACTTGTACTGTACGGTATGGGTCGGTACAGGTCACCTTTATCAGGCTTGCGTTTCCACTGCCTAAAGGCTGATTTATACTTCTGCGTCAAACGCCAGCGTATGCTAAGGCGCTGACGCATAGCCCTTCGCCATGGCTATCGCCGTCACTGATGTGCACCTCTCAAAAAATGTAACTACACGTCACAACGACGCGTAGCGTAAGCTCTGTGATTGGTCGGCTTGGTAGCGCTGACGAGTCTGGGCGGGACCGAGAGCCGCGTGAATGGTGCGAGCCCGATATAGCGATTGTTTACAAGTGTGGAGTCCCGTGAAGGAGCTCCGGATGGAAAGTTTTGTTTTGTGTTTACCTCATAGTTAAAGTTGTTGCACGTCCGCCGGTTCCTGCCTCAAAATGAGTGAGTTTGAGCCACTTGTACATCCCGGAGGTGTTCAGGAAAAGCAAAAAAGCAGAGAAGAAACTCGACACAGAGGAACATTTACACCTCACTGCCCACTAGCGTTTCGGAAGTGTTAATGCAGACCAACAGAGACA